GTCTTCAAGTGGAAACACAAAAGAATTATTACATGTGTGAGAGGCTAGTGAGTCCAGAACAATGGCAATTCAAATTGGACGCCATATTTGCATTCGGTGTATAGTCTGTCCGAGTTGTCCCATCTGCTGATAACTGTAGTCTGTAGTTCTTCACCAACTGATCTGCTTGAGAATTCCCTTGAGTGGACACAGCATAGATGATATGAAGTGTCTGTAGATGAATCTGTAGATATGGGTTAGTGTCACTTGTTTCTGCACACCATGATGATCCTAATGTGTAGTTCAATCGACCATTCTTGGCTGGTGTGTTGGCACTTAGTTCAGATGAAGCTGTTATTTCGCTGTCAGGAATTGCTCCATTTTCGATTCCCAGATCCAGATCAACACAGTCAGCTGAGGAGAAAGAAAAGAAATTAGAATACATACCCATTTTTTTTAAAAAACCTCATCTCCTCCCTAGCATACAGGACACGTTCAATGTGATTGTTTACGCAGTCCCTCAATTGATAAATTTTAACGCTAGCACGGAACTACATCTTAAAACAAGTATTCACTCGTTAAAGAAAGGTAATCCTCTTGACGTCAGAACAGTAATACAAAAAAAATTTAAACTTAGTGCTTACGTTCGAGAGAAGTTTTGTTTGGTGTAGGCAATAAATTAGTTTGAAGACCTTTTTGATTGGAATTGAATGAAAAAGAAATAGAGAAGTGAAACATATTTTCAGATTTGTTTGTACCACTCTCTTCGTCGTGTCAATGTGCGACGAATGTCTCACTTCAGAATTACTACGCAGGCCATTGTACCTAAACTGTTTCTCAACAATAATGGTTGAGGAAAATTGGTATTGGACATGACGTCAAGCAAAATTACCGAGTTTAAGGGATTTATCAAATTTTTCAAACTAGATCTAGTGTCCTTCCCAGCTGTTTTTATGCCCCATTACACAACAGGGGAAGAGAACGCGATATGTGAGCAGAAAAATACTCGATTTGAAACTAAACCTAACATCTGTGGACACCAACAAACGATAACAAAAGCGCAGAAAAATTTAATAGTGATGCAATTTCATACCAGAAGAGTAGTAGACTTACCATTCAGGCTCAAAGTGAGCGAAATGATATATGAGTATTCCAGTAGCGAAAAATATCGCAAAGATACAAGGAGATTAATTACTTAATTCTAGAAAATACGATGGAATGTTCAAAATAGTTCACTGAGAAATATCAATGTTCTTGATCTCCTCAAGTGGATATAGGATTATTTTCTAAATTCCTCGAAAGCCAATATCCATAAGGTCATACAACTTCTCTGGATGCTGAATCGAATAAATCCTCCGGTCTTCCATAATGTTCTTGAAAATTACTTTGTGCGAAATAAACTTGCATGTGTTTTCATAAAAGATAAAAAATCATATAAAGCCATCACTTTTTTTCTTGGGGGAGAGAAGGGAAGTTCTGTTTTAGGATCGTTGTATTATTGTCAACTTTTGATTCGATCATAGATCAGGGGCCTTCCTTGTGGCGGCTTCATTTTAAAGAGACTGGAGCGAGGTAGAAAAAATTGAAGAGGGGTAGGAGGACACGACCTAAAATATCAAGCTTTTCCATCTTCCAGATTTCTCACGATGTTGGCATCTCTGGATATGAGTGAGTTGAAACACCAATAAATGAACTCCTGCGGACCCAAGTGAACACAAGTGTCATTTAAGCCGATATGGACTACGAAAAAACACTTACGATTGAGGGCTGAAAGATGAATTATTCATTGATCTTGATTCGAATGTGTTCACGTTTTACTGGGACAGAACCGAAGCTGTGGTTCAAAATACTTTTAAAAGCTAAGATCATTTGTCTAGTAATAGCATTGACTTTTTTCAGTTTCGAACCAAATCAGTAGGCAAAACAAATTCGTCGATGCGGCATTTCGATGTAAATGAAGCTTATAGCTGCATAACAGGAAGTAGGTTACTTTGAAGGAGATATGTAGGTCAGTGATCAAATTTAATCCACTAAATCGTGCGGTAATTTCTTTAGCACAAAGTGTTGATACAAGTCTTACCGATATCTGATAAAACATTCGGTTTCGATACGGAATTGGAGCGCTAAACTAGAGTTATGCATCAGTATAGTGATATCGAAACTCTTCCGTCTTCTTTGATACGTATAAGAAAATCACTGATACAGATAACTTTGAATATTCATTTAGCATGGCAAAGCAGTGAAACAATTGCACATTTAGGATTCAGACAATCTTCAATTCTTCGTGTGTCTCTGAGATCACCGAAGCCGGAGGCGTTAGACATACAAAAAATGGCTCACCTGATACCGATGTAAGAAACAAAGCAAGGTAAACTGTTGTGAAAAGTTCATGATCAAGCTTCCGCATGTCCTCTACGTCTGAATCAACAGGTCTGGGAAGAAACTTTATTTTCGAAGGAATACCGTAGACAATTTGTTTTGCTTTACTTTCCCCCTTTGTTCTCTTGAGATCACATCATTTCACAAAACTTTGTTTTTAACTAAATTTAGCTTATTGTTTTCATTTTCACCAAACTAATTAACATGTAGTTATCAAGAAAATGTCAAAGAAATGCAACGGAATAATTTTGGAAAGCAGAAGGATGAAGTTGTAGCAAAGTTTTGGATTTTGCTTCAAAGGAGGAAGATCGAAGATTGAGTTTCTCGAAATTTAAGTAATTCCTACCGTTTTACAATTTGCAATACTCCATAACTTTTAAAGGACCAAAACATGCACAAACTAGATGGATTTACACTTTTAGGACCAAAACATGCAGTCATACCGTCAAAACAAGATTTTATAAGTCTCTCAGAGAATTTTGCTCCGTGTTTTGCCCAGAATTTAAATGCTGAAGAAACGACATCTCTACCCAAATTTTTTAGTGTTGCGAGTCTGTATAATTTTCTATTGTCAACGAGATAACTGATAGATCTATAGTTTACAACTTTCCTTAAAATTAGGAGAAACGTGCATTTGAACACAGTGAGCTTTACGCCAAATGTACTTGTGTACAGTTAAGTTTTTTTCCTTTAATAAAACTCACATAAAACGACAACGCATCAACGCTGTACTTCATATCTGCCAAGACATGTATAAATTTTCCTTTTGGCTGGTTCGTAAAGCTGTTTAAATAATATTCTTCTTCATCAACAGTACTACTATCTAACCGTTCTGGCTATCAGCTATAAAAGAATCAAGTTTTACGATAATCATTTATCTTTGTCTCTTTTCGGTTAAACAAAATATAGAATTTGGAAGGGATACAATACAATTCCCATTCAAAAGAATAACTATCTATAGATTTATCATAAATTAAGCTTTGTTTATCGGTTATCAAACAATAATTAAATACTGTTCTTGGTTCAACCTTTTTGTCTTGGAGTCGGAGATGAATTTTACAGATCGTCAATTCATCATTTTTTCCGCGAATCCAGAATATTTTCGGCGTTTACAAAACTTAAGTACCCTTTCTATGCTGTTTAAATGTAAATACTGATTAGCACTTCATTAGAAAGAAACTGAAGAGAAGTTTTTCTTTTAAATCAGCATACGATGTTTATTGCAGAGCTAACACTATTTTAGACATGACTTTTGTACGCGCTCTATCAATTTATTATTAATAAGATTATCATTACTAGCATAGTTGTCGTCATCAATATTATATCTGATAGAGCAACCAGCTAACCAAGTTACTGACTGACGACGGTTGACCGCGCCAACTATATGAGAGATCAACTGTCCGACCGAGCAAGCGATCCCGACTGACTGGCTCACTCACTGTTTTTAATTCAAACTAAGCATGGACAACTGTCAAAAGCTAACAATCTGCAAAGTTTGAATAACAGTTGAAAGAATCCAGGTAGGCTAGGATTGTCTTGTAACAGAACGAGTAGAGATCCTGAAAACAAACAGAAGATAGGCCTTTAAGTTGAGGCAAAGAAATAATCTGCTGATGAACACAGTCCCAGTATACTTTGTTATTTCTGGGCAACTTACCAGAGTGTTTACAGCACCAGGCCTTTTGGCTCGAATCAGTTTAATGGTCTGGAAAACATCAACTGTTTGCTCAATCTTAACTCGTTCAATCACTGACATGATTGTAGCTACACAGCCGCTACGACCCACACCATCACTGAAAAAACAAAGAATGACGCCAACAGCCAAAATAAAAATATCAATAAGAGACCCAAAGAGGCCCCGGGTGTAAGCAAGGTAAAATGCTGTAGGTCACCGAAGAGGAAATGGTATCCCATTCAAAGGTCTAGTCGCTTCATGTTTTGAAAACTCGGATAGGCACTGGCAGATATGGGCCACTAACCTAGAGACACAATGCAAACTAAAGTGAAACTTGGATGCGCTCTGATTATTTTTTGCAATGAATCCCATTTTGAACACAAAATTCACGGTCAAAACGTCAGAATCAGGTATCGATTTCGTGCTTGACAGAATTGAGACACAGAGTAACTCACGCCAGATATCATGAAAACGGTACAAAATCACAAGAAGCCCAGGATACCGCAACGTAAATACATGCAAATGACCTTAAGAGGAAAAAGAAAGAGAACGATCGAGTTACGATTTGTTTTGCTTTTCATTTTTTCTTTAAATGGTTCAGAGAATTCGCCATGTGAAGCAAACACAATGAACTCCAGAGTATTGACCAGAGAGCGTTTTTTGTTTATTTATTATTGCATTCTACCTTTATCTTAATGGTCGCTATAAATGATGTGGAAACATTGAATGGTTATTATTTTTTCAAAAAAAAAAAAAGAAAACAGATTAGAATTTACCTGCATTGAAAAACAATGACTCCATCTCCAGATTGTTGCTGAGACTGCTCTAATAGAGTCAACAGGTCGAGTATTTCTTGGGGATCTGGCTTGGAGTATCCATTCGCCCATCCAGTGAATTGGATATGCTGTACAGTCGAGGTCTTCTTGGGAGGCTACCGCATTAAAATTAATAAGTAATCGAAATATCATAATCATGTGCTATAGCGAATGGAATCGACATAAATAAAAACAAAAACAAATCAACCAAAAAAATAAACAAAAATAAACAAAAATAAACAAAAACAAAAAGACTCCACATCAAGTTTCTTGGTCAGTAATCATTTTATTAAGGTGGCGACCGGTTTCAAAGATGGCTGACTCTATTTTGAAAATGTGAGCAACAAACACGGCCCCGAAGACGAGGCTGAATTTCAAACACAATGTTTCTTTAAACAGTTGCTTGTATCCAGATTGAAAGTGATCATTTCTATGAGAGCTTGATGCTAACTTCTTGCTCGGTTTTCGTACAATTCCAACTCATACTGCCATAAGAGGATAAGCAAACATTTTATCCATAGGCTAGGCTTTTTGAGTCCCCCTACACCTCTGCAATTGTTAAGACATACGAAGATCCTCTAAATTATATTACTATCCCCAAACCAACGTTTTAGTCATTCGCTGCACAATAATTAAATCAAATTACACCGTACCATCGCATTTGTGACGCTTAACTTGCTCCTAGTTATGTTCTTCGCGGTCTTTTTTGACAAAAGCTGTAAAGTCATGTCTCCATACTTGGCAGACCCTTCACTTGGCCAATATTGCAGATAACTCTCCCAAGAGACGCAAAATGCCAGATGTAATATATGTCTCCAATGATAACTTAAATATTTACTTCAAACAATGTGCGAGAAAACGAACTTCAAGTTAAAAAAAAGCCCTAATGTGACCATGTCTAACTCCAGATCTGAGGGATCAAGGGTAAATAATTTCAGATACATGATTCCAGAGCTTCTTAAAACCTACGTTTGGTATTTTGTATAGGTAATAGCAGGGGGCCGAGAAAAACTAAGAATTGAAATCACCCGTTTTTTCAGAAGTTCTTGAAATTGCCCGAGTCGCGCAGCAATTTGATTTGCCCTCTTCACAAGCAAAATTAAGAAGAAAAACACCCTCTTCATTGACCAATCAGCTTTCAGTAATTTTTCCCTCTGTGTTAATAGCATTTAAAATGAGTAAAGTATACCTCTTTTTCTTCTTTCAAACTGTTTAACATCACTACTGTGCCGATATCATACTGTGATATCATCCTCCAGAAGTCGTCAACAGTATTGTTTAACGGGGCTTGAGTCAAAATGTAAGCATTACGTCGACTATAGTCCTAATGAAGGTAGTAGTATATGTCACCATTGTGGAAAGACCAGGAAATTATTATAAAGAACGCAGAGCAATAATCACCAAAAAGAGAAAAGTTTATCAAGTGTTGCTTTCATTGCAATGATTACTTTAGAGCGTGAACAAACTACAGCAACTATCTGATACACTTTACTATGAACTGGAGAGTACCAACTGACAACTGATTTGTCTTCGTTGGTGTCGAGCCTACGAATTTTAACTTGTTTAGAAACGTTGTTTGCTTGCAATTCAGACTAAAGGATAGATGGTCAATTAATCGTCAGCTTGAAGGCGCCGAGTCGCGAAATTAAGAGTCGTTTAAGGTAAAATGCAAAAGTACTTTCAGCGTCAAATTGATCATGAAACGTTGTTTTGGATAATCACCAAAATAGAATGATTATGGTTAAGAATAGTGTCAACTGACTCGAGTTGCAAACAATTAACTTGTAAAAATTAGGCCACAATCCCTTAACTTGTTACAACGAAATACAAATCAGCCAAAAAGGAGAATTAAGAATCAGATCTGGGGCGGTGTAGGGTCATTGCTCCTAACGCATGTGTACTTACGTCAACAAAAGAGGCGTTGATGTAATCCTTATTCGGTTCAGAACTCCTCAACATGACCCGAGCAGTGTCCACTTTAATAAAAGAAAAATAACCGGAAAAGTATTGGATTCTACAACAATAATAATGATAAAAGCAATAATGATGACAATGATCATCATCAAACTAACTACAGGTAAAAGTCACTAGAATAATCATGCTACACACCAACATTCATCTCATTTATATAGGTTGAACGGAGTTTCAAAAAAGAAATGTGTGCGAAATAACAGTCAAGTGTTGTCCTGAACGAAATTTGGATGAGATCTTTGCGAAATGTCAGAAAAAAAGTGGATACAGGACACATTCAACCCACAAGAGAGCATTTCATGTCTTCAGTTCCCGTTGGTGGGAGTAAAGTGGTGTTAATTATCTTTTAACTTTGCAAATTGCAGTTACTGCGGATATCTCAGGTTACTGGTGAAAATGTAATGGTAATGATGTTCCCCTTAGCAAATGGTAAATGATAATTAGATTCAGTTGTATCGAGATATTTTTCTTGCGTAACGCCAAACAAGAAAGAAACACAGTTTAATAACAGTTAGGGCTGTCCTTACTTGGTACTATATTTGAAAACCTGTTCTTGTCGAGGTTTGAGGGCTTAAACCCCTCGGTAAATTCGTCTCCTGAGCTCTGGCAGCTGCTGACGAGCTCCAAACGCTGGAAAGACAAAACCAATTTCACTTTATTTTTCCCGTTTAGCAGTAGAACTTGTCTGATATAAAACTACTGATTTTTGCCATTGTAACGTAGACTAATACCTTGAACTCATCTGCATAACCAGTGTGTTTAGCATCTGACATGACCCTGGCAAGTTTGTTCATTCGTATCCGTAAATCTTGGGAAGCGACCTCTGTAGTTCCACAGGTCAAAGCTTCCATAACAGCTTGATGTATGAAAACGTATTGGGTCTATGTAAAGACAAATAACATTAAGCCCGAGTTGAGTCAGTCATGCGTAGATACCAGATTTACGACTCGTGCTTTGTGTCAGTGAGTGTCCGAAGCTAAATAAATCGTTAGTTGTGTCATTGCTGTCTGGTTTGTATCACAAACGTCCTTGTCTTTGTCATCAATATTGTTATAATGCACATTGTCGTCAGCATCCTTTTAACGAATTCTTTTTCATTTTCCTCTAAATAATCACTATGACAGAACGAATAGCAAAAAAAAAAAAAAAGAAAAAAGAAAAACTACAAATATACCTGAGGAAACGTTCAGTCTAAGAAATAGCTTTCATAACGTCGAACCTGCTTATTTTCCAAGGTTGAAAATACAGAGGAATTGAATTTAATCACATCTGCATCTAATCCACACACCTCAGTGGAGCGAGAAACCCGAAAACACTATGTAAATGTTACATCATCATTAGCAACAAAAGAAGAATAAAAAAATAAGTTGCTCAAGTACAAAAAACTGAGTTACCCACAAAGATTAGAGCCTCGCATTTTCCTATTTCATGTTCGAATGCCCTTTCCATTACACGTGAAAACAGAGAAATCATCATCTGGATTCCCTGAAAAAATTACTCGAATTCACTTACATCTTTCTGCACCATATAAGGGCGATGTTTTCGCATCACTTGCACGTAATTCTGTATGAACACCGTATTCTTCTTCTTAGCACCTTCCAACATGGCGTCAATACCAATGTAAGTACCAGTTCGACCAACACCAGCACTGTCAAGAAGCAATCAAATTAAAGATACATAGAGAGAGAGAGACACACACACTCACACACACACACACACACACACACACACACACACACACACATACATACATACATACCTACCTAGATACATACATACATGCATACATACATACATAGTTACAAAAGATAACAGACACTAAATGATCACGTTGTAAAAAAATCAGGCCGACCCACAATTCTGAGTTCCTCTACCTTTCAGACGCGGTGATAAGAAGTAGTACCCAGGTTTTACCTCCTAAAGGTAAAATAAGGCTTTCGTATCTTAAATTAGATATTCTGACAATATTTGTTCTGATAGATTACCTGCAATGTACAACAAGTGGTCCGCCGCTGGTCTGATTTCGAGCATGAACCTTCCATCTAAATCCAAGCAGCGCAGTGGAATGGTGTGGGACACCTCTGTCTGGCCACGATGTGAAATGATATTGATGAACCTCACGCGTCTTTGTGCCCTAATGTCGATGAAAATTAAGAATAATAACTTCATTTTACTTTTAATTTTGAGGTTCAAAGGACGAAACACGATCAAAATGTCAGTGCAAAACCGAGTGACAATGTGTTAACTACAACTTTGCAAAGGCGGTAATGATTTTTCACTGAAAGTAATAATAGCCTTCGAGTGTCATTAAATCTAAGTTATTCAGAGTGCAGAATCGTGATGACCTGACAATCTCGCCTTTCGCCACCGCTGATAAGCCTGAATCTTACATCGCGAGACAGAGGACTAAACGTTTATTTATCTGTAAAACCACAATGAACAACAACATTTTCTGGAAAAAAAATGTAACGCTTACCTCCATTTTTTAGGAGGATACACCAAATAAGGTGTTCTTCTCTAGTTTCTTACCTTGACTAATTTTAAGGTTCGGATGCAGTAGTCAGCGAAGTTTTGCGTGTTAAGTAATGTTACCGTGATGGATCCAAACCTGGTAGTGCTGTCTGGCCAATACTGATTACACTTGTTCTAAAAGTGAAAACATTGTCGACGCATCACTCGTCTTTTAAAATACAAACAATTTATATCGTTTCTAAGTCTAGTATTCTGCTTTAAAACCAGGCACGATAAAGTAATAACAATAATAATAATAATAATAATAATAATAATAATAAACATTTTGACGTGGAGAAACACTTAGCTATAAGCTAGTTTACAGGTTTTCCACGAAACAACTTAAACAAATAATTCAAATTGAAAATAACGTTGTTAAGAATACCAACTGGCCGAAGGCAAACCAGTTGTCTATATTACAAGCATGGGCAAGGATTTGAAACTCGGGGCTACCGTGAAACAAATCCAAGTAGTGGCCAGGGCGGGACTTGAACCCGGGAGCAACGGATTGCAAGTCCGACACGATGACCACTCAACCATGCTGCCTTCATAAAGATTACTAGCATGCTTTAAAGAACACGTAGAAAATAATAAAAAAGGTACTTTTTCACATCAGAAAGGTTGAAAGTAAGAATACCTTTCCAAGCTCGACCAAGTTGGTTAACATGACGATAACAGAACAGTTTTTCTGCCAGATCATTCGCCAGAAATCGCTGATTGTTGTCGAGGTTGGACCTAACAAAGTATTGACAAAGTATAGAGAGACTTAATAGAAACAAACCATATGTACCTGGGAAGATTTCACTCCAAAGATGTACATATATCCCAGATTTACAACAGTAATCTAACAGCTTCATTTATTAGTTTGGGCAGTTGTCCAAGCTACACAACAACTGTGAGTTGGAAATGTGACTTACGTCTTGGCTGTCTTTAGGAACCGATATCTATTATAATTACCTTGCGTTGCAATGTAGTTCATTGATTCCTCATCAAACGTCTAAGAATGATATAGAAGATACTATTAACTCATAATTGATAATTTGATTCAGAAACACCAGTATTTCTTTGGTTTTTTCAATTTCCAGCACCTTTTGCATAATTAACACGTCTATGATTTGAAACGCTTAGATGAAAGTTTATCTTCGTTAAGTTTCTTACTTTCTGTGTTCATCGTTTGCAATGTGTTTATAACTTTTCTAGCCGTAACAATCCTTGCTCCCTTTTGAAGTATGCTTAGCTCTTGGGTGTTTGGCTACCCTTGCAAACTATCCCTATGAGGTCCCATTCCAACAAAAGCGCATGTTCATTTGGAGTTGCGAAGCCAATACCAAAGTAAACACACAACCAAGCAGAATAAAGGTAGATATCTCAATGATCCAAAGAGAACTAAGTTCAAACTGCCTAAAGCGTGGGAAACGCTTTAATTTTAAATCGAATTGATTAAAGTGACACGAGTTTAGGCCTTTACGGGAACACTCACAGGAGGACGTAAAGCAAAACACTACAATCCCGGGTTACTTTCTACATTCGATTAAAAACAAGTTATCTTTAACAATCCAATGTAAAATTCAAACTATCGCGACGTACATTTAAAATGATCATACTACACGGTGTTGTTGTTGTACTTACCGGAATATAACTAGCGTTGATGTAGTCAGACTTCGGATCACCCTCTATTTTCTCCAAAACCACGCGAGAATGATCATCTGTCACGAAAAAGAGCCAGTCTTAAGTATTTACCGAGACGAATCTCTCACAGTGGAATCTCTCTCCTCAATAAATCACCCGTACTCAAACTAACTCTCGCGCAGTGACCAACAGTAAGTTAGAGGGCGTGGAAACCCTGTTCGCCACCTTCGTATGCGAGAGTTTATTTTTCACTAAATTTCGTCCTGCGATCATGCCATCACAAAGGATGTTACTAAATTGAAGTGAACACAAAGTGAGTTTTTTCTTACTGTAAATTTATATTTATTGTCTATACTCTGCGTTCAAGTGGACGAATCATTCTTGCATAAAATGCAACTGAGTAGAGCAGAATGAATAAAATGCACTTACAGGTTGTAATATTTCCAAAACGATTTTTCATTTTGTTGTTTTTGCCAACCTCCCAAGAGTGCGGCAAAATGCTGGGTAATTTCTGTTAACGACACAACAATTAAAAATTTAATTACCTATGTCCACATGCAAGCTAAGAATACAAGTGGCTCTACCCACTGAACATTTACTTTTTAATTTGAAGGGGTGAGCAATCTTACTGAAAATTAGTGGTCAAACGTTTTTGTGAATGATCGAGAAACAATAACTGCAAACACACTAAATTACTTTAAAAAACAACAACAACAACAACAACAACAACAACAATAACACAGCATTTGAAGTTTGACAAAAGGAAACTTTCTTCGCTGTCGCAAGAAACCTTGTGGAAACAGATTTTTCCTTATTCATGTTACCTGACTGTTAGCTGTATGAAGATGGCCAACGCAGTTTATAACGACTGAAGCCTGGAGTTGTCATTGGGGAATACCTATGCTTGACAACAGCTAACGAACCATAGATGAATTTCATATGGTGTAAAAGACTTGGCTTGTAAAAAAAAATTGAAGTAGAATTATTGTCAAGTCCCTGGAAAGTGACCTTGCCATCTCATATAAATTTTCAAATTTCGTCCCTCAGTTTTTTTTCTGACAGGTTTGTAATGTTAAAAAGCTTACAACTGTTTTTTAACTGAGACTTCTAATGGAAAAATTGTCATACAGTATTCTTGTACCATTCTAGGAAAAAGTAGTTGACAAGAAAACTGCTGCCAGCATTTGCTGATGGAAACCCCCTTTTAAAAAGCTATCATTTAGCACTGATTTCCTTGCCTTAAATTCCTCTTTCAGCACGATGGCTCCATTGGATGATTTGTTCTTGAAGTATTGTGCAAACTCCGCCACGGGAACTGCTTTTGGCTTACCATCATCAGCCTCACTGTACACCGATTCGTTTTCTTTAGGGAGAGATGCTTTTACACCAACTGTGTAAGAAGTATTACAAGAGTTTGTACTTAATTTCTATTCTATCGGACAGCCCAGCTCAAAATTCACCATCTTTCTTACTTTATTTCCACACTGACACAGAACGCTTTTGAACTGATTTTGTAGGATGTCTAACCGAAAATTCGAAAGGTTTGACACTCCCACTTGAGCGGGCAACTCAGAATCTTTCTTTTGTCCTGTGCTCTTTAGAGTTGCAATAATTGCATGGTTCCATAACCGAACGTCATCGTTAACACTTTTATGTTGTAAATCTTTCTTGGAGATAGTGAGCTACAAATGTAATCATGTACACGTACACTATCGGTTTTTCGTCAATCATATTTGAACTTCATATGGCGATCGTTAATTATTTTCACTTTGTAAATAGTCCTAGCTGTGAGAAATCGAGCGATGGAGTCATTTGCCTCCAACCACTCAAATAATCACTGCTTCATAAAAATAACTATTACGCAACGGCTTACCATTTTCATGGGAAGGAATTTCAGACACGTTTTGATAAACTAAGTCAGCTGTACTGCCACTGGACTCAACTGACTCCATTCTGAATTCAGCAAGTGGAACGTGTACTTTGTTGCTGTTAACCTCTTGGCCTGATTTCTCAGCCTGTCTCCTCCTGAAATGGCGGTGAGTATCACGCAGTTAAGTTGGGCACGCAAAAAAGTTTTAGTTGTTCATGATATTCCATTCAGATTATGGAGCATTAAACAAGTTTCGTCTACCCCTCTTGAACATCGTCAGGAAAACTACTGCTAGAGGAGTAAATATTAACTCTACTAACTCATACAACAAAGAAGATTCCCTTTCACAGTTATTACAAAAGCGTATTACTGGGTGAAGCATACCTTCGATACAGCAGTACTGCACCAATAAGCAATGGTACCTAGACTATTACCAAAACCACAGGAACGGCAATCTGCACAATACTAACAGATTGAGAGCCCTCTTTTTTGCCTAACCCTACTCCTACAAAAAAAGAAGAACATTTATCCATTGTCAGTCAAGATTTAATTATGAATATGGAGTCATTATTAAGTTGAGTATCTATGTTTTTAGAACTGTTGCCTTTCAACTGAAACGATAAAATCCTTTTTCAAGTTCATCATTGGCATTTCGACTCAAAATCATAAATAAGTATTCATCTTGCCTTCAGTTACAGAAATTTTCGCAACCTTGCTGACTGGTCCATATAATTTAACCTGTGAAAGTAATAAACAAAGCTACAGTTTTAATTTATCTTTCAGAAATTGTGATCATTTACATTTTCTGCTTTGCTGGACGTTACGATAGCTGGCAAATGTAATCTACCAGTTCTGAGTTAGGGGAAAGCCAAAGCTTTGGTGTTGGTGATTAATTAATATAATTTGCAAGTATTTCATACTGTCTTTTATCACAGACCTTTCTTTCTCTCCCTATCGCGACATTGAGGACGCTTTCAAAATTGCTGATTCTATCAGCAGAATACCAGGGAGTAGTTTCGAAGTCGTGGAGAGCCTCCCTTTCCTAGGGAGACCTGGGCTTCCCAAGGAAACAGTGCAGGTTTAGAGCTTTTCAGCTGCATTTTTCTTCATTTTGGGTCTATATTTATTTATGTTACCATGCAGTTCCTACTAGTCGACCTATTGAAGAGTATTACATGTGTGGTGGGAGTACAATGCCACTTAAGTGAAGGCTACAAGCGGATAGATTAAGCAGCCATCTGGCTTTAAGAAAACCTCTCGTTATCACCTTGTTAGTTCACCAATAACTTGTCAGAAACTACTTACACCATTGCCGTCAGTCATCGCTCTTTGGTACACGATGTAGTCCTCTCCGATTTGAAGTTCCTTGTTTCTGTACGCTCCATACGTTTTTCCTTCGCCAACAGTCAATTCCCAAGACTTTTCATTCCCGGGTACACTTTCTATCTCAGCAGCAACATAAAACGTCAGGTTTCCTATCTCGGCGGTAATTGAATCTTTCATTTTTGAAGCATAATCAGTCGGAAGATCTTCCACTCCATCAACAACTTTTAGAACTATAACTTGATGAGATCTGAAAAAGAGCACGTTGGAGTGTTTACAACGTCCACTGCACTCAAAGCAAGTAGTCGAGCCTTATAAAATAACATTTAGTAATAAAATGTTGATTAAAAGAGCTACAGGTAACGATATTTTGAGACAAAGATTTCCCCTTTATCAAAATGAAACTTGAATGATAACTTTTTGGGGCAACAAAATACCAAACAAGTAAGAATAACGTTGACAAAAGCAAAGTTTTACACGGATGGAGACTACAAAAATTGACAATCCAGGCGCCCCTTTCATGATAGCGACGAGTGCAAGGCTAAAGAAGCATTATTTCAGCTAGGATCAAGGTCTGTAAGTTCCGCCCCAAAAGTAATTCACCTTATTGGACCATTTCTTTGCTCTGCAGGCCACAAGTGAATCACAACAGCTGTTGTCGAAATACGTTTATTCGCCACCGACAGTACAGCTGGAGAAATCGGGGCTAAAATGAAAGAAAAAAAGCAAGATAATAGTTATAGGATTGAAAAGGTGTTTTCTTCCAAACAATGTTTCTTATTTATGTTAGCGTGCTCAAAATTGGAGAGCGAAAAGAGTCGAATATCCGATTAAAAATTTGCCTTGGTAAACTTAACGAAGACAATTAGCTGGAATCATATAAATAAGACCAGCATTGTATTTATTGTTTATAGAAATTCTACGAATAACAAGCAGGCTTACAGATTATTTCTTTAAAACAGCGTTAATATTCGAATTCCTTTTTCGTAGAATTTTGGATACGCAGGATTGTTAAAACAATTACAACTGATTTAGCCGTCAAACTAAAAAATTCTGTCTTACTATCGATAAAAAACCGCTCAGGTAAATCAAACTTTACCTGTTGTCTTTGTTTCGACTTTATCAGGAAATTCTTTGCCCACTCCTAGTCCACATACGGAGCGTACGATAATCTGAAACTCGTACGTGGAACCGGGAGTTAAACCTTTCATAGTATAGGAAGTGGTACTGTCAACGTCTTGGACACCTTCCTCTCTAAAGCTTCCATTGTAAGGCTTTGTTCCGTGATACTTCACCTTTAGAAACAAAGATAGATTCATGTCTAACTGACATAACACAGCTTTTCAACAGTCTTTCTCAGAGGAGAAAACTGATTCTAGTTTTGCATTCAGGAAATACGCCACGAAAGAACAAAGACTACCACTGAAAGAAAAAAAACACGAAATGTATCAGCGCAAATGTCACTCAAATATAATTTTCCCAAACAGGAAAGCGATCTATTCTGTCTATCTGGCCTGCTTATCCAAAACATCCAACAGAAACTACAAAAAAGTCTCAACGCATAATAGCTGGCATCAAAAATTAAAAAGTGGCGTTAGTTTTAAGGTATGAGTTCATCTTCTACCAGAAAAAAATGCAGGTTCACTTCAAGTAAAGTCTTAACTTATATCAAGTTATTCCCATGCCCACCATAACACATCATTTTATCTTTTTCGTGCAACTCACTCTATAGCTGAGGCCTTCTTTTGTCATGAGCTCCGGTTCTTTCCATCCCAGCGTCACTTGGGTTGCTCCAACATTTGTTGCAGTTAACCCCCAAGGTGTTCCTGGGCCTTTGGGAAAAGTGAGAATCGTTGTAATACTTACTGTAAACATGAAATTCCCTAAAGAAGTAGAAAATTGCGTACAGGTATCGCATAATTAAGTTACATGCATCGTGTTTGAAAATGTCCCAAAACCTAAATAAGTGTTTTCTTTCTAGCGTTCCAACAGTTTCCGTGGCAGCCAGTTTGAAATTGAAGTAAAAAATGAACTCATGACGTTTTCCTTTAATATTTTTTTGGTTGATTTTATTTCAAGAATACAGTTGCGTACATCTGTTGATCAGTTGATTCTAAGCGGTGTGATCGTTAACGAATAAAAGAGACAAAAAGGATAAGACCAATTCAGCGGATGCCTAAGAAACGTCAGACGTCAACTCCGTCTAGATTGTCTTATGGCAGTCACAGTCCACCTAATTCGATTTTAACAGTAATCAATTTAACAAAACTTGTCAAGTCAAAACATTTCTCGAGGCCTGCGACAGGTATTGACTAATTTAATTCCTTTTTTTCTTCTCAATCTATTAAGTAGGTATTCTGATTTGCTTTTTAATATGTCTCCCTTTGTCTTTATGGGCCAATGGGAATAATGGCTTTGGCTGACTAAATTCGATTGAAACACACTCTAACTGCTTTATATCGCACTACCTACCTGATGTTCTCGGAAGTTCTACAGGTGGACTATAAGGACCGGGTCCTATTTTGGTATAAGCTCGAACAGACACTTGGTATTGCGAACAAAGCAATAATCCACTCAATAAAATGAATGTGTTTGTTGTATTAACTGTTTTGCTGCTCACAGAAGCTCTTTTCTGTCGTGTTCCCCGAGACAACAATTCTACTTTGACGTTATACAGAATGACGTCGCCGTTGCTCTGTTCTCTTGGTAGAGTTGTCCATGAAATGTTAAAGGTGGTCTTGTTCACCTCTGTAGGTAACACATTAGCTGGGCCACCCCTGGGTTCTAAGAGAAAAAAAATTCAGTCAAAAGTTATTAAATATTGTCCTTAGAAGTTTTTAGGGTCTAAGCATGTCGTTTCCGACCCATGTCAATTTTCTTCGTCCATAATCAACCTCGTTCAACTCAGTTTAATTCCAAGAAATTTTTTAATCTTACCCAACTTATGTTTTGTGGTTTTATCAAAACTGAATTTAATTATTTCACATCACAAAAACCGACTGAAATAAACGTACGGGCTTCTCATGAACATCGATAAAATACGAAACATAGAATATGACACTTACTATATTCTGGAATAGCGACTGTCAAATAGGCCTTATCCCCAGGTTGTATGATCTCAGCTCTGACCTCAAACCAATAGGTGACTCCTCCTAACACATCAACTGTGTAACTAAACACGTCCGGTCCAAAGGTCTCATTGTGAATATTATGTGGATCTTCACTGTCGCGGTAAAACACAGTATAGTTCCTTATAACTCCATCTGATGGTGAAGGTGATGTCCAGGATAAAGTTATCATTGGTCCATGTGACTCAGTCGGTATTTTAAGGGTATGACTGAAGGAAGGAGGAGGATCAGGTGCTAAAGAAGGAGTTATAATCAAAAGAAACTTCAGAAACTAATGAAAGTGTTGTAGGAATTGCTCTAACTTGGTTTATTGTGTTAAACAATAGTTACTTTAAGGCAGAAAATTCCCATAGGGCGTTAATTAAGTTAGTATCTTACCACCTAGAACTGTTCTTATGACTTCCACAGAACTCCTTGGTCCATCACCAACAGACGTGAAGGCTAACACTTCAAAGTCATACTGCGTATCAGCTTGGAGCCCATTGACAGATGTAGACCTAATTGCTGCATCGTTGATGAGTTTTTTTCTTTCTGAGTTCGCATCCCCACCGGTTTCTTTGTAAAACAGTTTATATCCTTTGATGATTCCATGTCTGGAGTCTTCAGGAAGCAACTTCCACCACGCCAAAACACTAGTATCAGAGCTGGCTGCCACAGTGAAGCCACCAGGAGGTTCTGAAGGGACTAAAATTAAGATAAAATATTGCTAAACGGAATTTAACATAGTTAAAGACTAGAAGCTAATCTGGTCAGTAACGTTTTTGCAAGCGTGCTGTTAGCGCATTTGTCATTGGTTAGCATTTGTAAAGCGTTCGTTTGCGTTCTGTAGCATTTCCAGCCACCATGTGGTTGTTGGAGGCCTGCAGCTGTACCTGTCCGGCGGTACTCCTCACCAGCGCATGCATTGTTTTCCCATGTACTAACTGTTCTCTAGCGTGGTGCTATCGTTCTTGAGGAAAACTTCTCGGTCTTTTGTTCAGGGGTTTATTTCTAGTAAATCATTTATTCAGGTAAGCCATCGAGCTTTAGTGGGACAGGTGCTTGTAAGGGAACTTAACGCTCGGGGCTCAGGGCTGGGTTGCAAGTTGGGCAGTTGTTAACAAATTTAAAAGTTCAGAAACATACATTGTGAGAATCTTAGTACTATAAACTTGAGTTCATAGAGTATGCTTTACATTTTACATCTTCGTTTGCCACAGTGAGCATCATCCATAAAGTTTCAGAAATGATATGAGATCAATGTCTACATCTGAGCAACTGCGCACCCACCCCTCTTCTAAACCAACAATGGTCAACTGATAGCAAGTTTGGGTTAATGATGGGTAGGTTGGCAGTTGCTCAGATACTGATCCTGATGCAAAATTGAAAAATTGAAAGCATTTTTCTTAACGATTTCAGAGTACAAAAAGTAGTGACAAGAATAGAGTGAAAACAAAAACAGATCTTCTGACTAAGTGTCAGGGATCAGACTTAAGTGATTAACACTCTTCTTACATTTTGTCAGGATTTCAGCATACAAAATGAAACATAAATTACTGGCCCATCATTCCATCCATCTTTACAATGAGTCTCAAAAACAAACCAAGAGTGGATTAGTACAATTGCTGCAATGAAGTTTCTTACCATCTTCCATTGTCCTTTCCACTACAACAGAACTCTTTGGTCCATCACCATGAGGTGTAAAAGCCAACACTTGAAATTCATATTCTGTGTACTTCTCCAGACTAACAACATCTCCAGAAAAGGTTGTTCCACTATTGATACTTTTAGCAGACATTGACCCTGTAAACCCTTTCTTTTTATAGAACAATTTAAATCCTGTAATGCTTCCATGTCTGGAATATGCAGGAGGCAACTTCCAGGAGGCTGCAATACTTGTAGAGGAGTTTGCAGATAAAGTCAAGTTACTGGGTGGTTGTGAGGGAACTGAAATTAAGATAGAACGATAATTGAATAATAGCAATAATGTTAATGATGACCATAATAATTTACAAAATACATAAATATTAGTAACAAAGTTATTATCTAATATTCTTCACTTTTGATAAATAAAAGTCAACTCATTTGGTCTTAAGAGCGAATGTTTGAATTGACCGAGTCAAAATCGAAAAATGTGGCACGTGATCGAAAAATTGAAAACCTTCATATTTTTCCCAGATACCTTATAGTGAACTTAGAAACGCGGTAAGGTTTTTTTTTTCCCAGACTTACTTCTTTATCCTAGAAAATTCACGAAAACTGAAAGAGCGCCGGTAGCCGTAAAATGGTGGAAATCAGTGCCCCGAGTAGAGGCAAATGAACCTTGCTCATGAAAAGCGCAAAAGAAAGCAAGCTCGTATCAATTTGACAAATTATAGAAGGGATTGAGGTACGGCTTAAGTCTAAAACGGGACCGTTTCGTTTAATTTTGACACACGGAACGCTTTTGAAAATCACCAATATTTCAAAATCCCAAAATAGCATTTTGTAGCACATTTTCAATTATCATTTTCACCATGCGGTATAACTCGGAATCGGTTCAGGTTAAGCTCATGATAAGTGGAAATGGTGTTGTTTTCGAGGATATAAAATTTAATTTGGGGCTTTTCATTTCCGCACGGAAAAACCAGGCAGAACTTTGTGAAAATCGCAGCATCGTCATTTACGTCACGACATTATCTAATTAGGCACCCCTTGGTTAAATCCGGAATTCCAAGCACATTAATTTTTAGGAGTTAGCACCGTGGTCGATCAGGATATCAATACAGTAAGCTAGCTTTGCATAGCTAACCGCGGCAGATTGGTTTTTATCTCTGCTTTCGTTTTAAATTCTCATCCATTTCCCATGGCGGAATTGTAACACATTCCTTAAGCTAGCGGAGGGCGTCTGTTATTCTTTGGGTATTCGAACACCTATAGGTCCTAAGAAAGTTCTGGGGTAAACTTGAGCTTGGTTTTTCCGTGCGGAAATGAAAAGCTCCAAATTTTAATTTTTATATCCTCGAAAACAACACTATTTCCACTTATCATGAGCTCAAACTGAACCGATTCCGAGTTATACCGCTTGGTGAAAATGATAATTGAAAATGTGCTACAAAATGCAATATTTGGATTTTGAAATATTGTTGATTTTTAAAAGCGTTCCGTGATGTCAAAATTAAATGAAACGGTCCCGTTTTAGACTTAAGCCATACCTCAATCCCTCCTATACAAATTTGTCAAATTGATACGAGCTTGCTTTCTTTTGCGCTTTTCATGAGCAAAGTTCATTTGCCTCTACTCGGGGCACTGATTTCCGCCATTTTACGGCTACCGAC